TTTCTTTTTAAGGCTGACTAACGGTCTATTATACCCATATACTGCATTTTGTTTTTCCATTCTTCTGTCAAATAACATTTTGATTGTCTTTCTTTTTTTTTTTTTTTTTTTTTTTTTTTGGTACCACGACTTGAACTCAGGATGCGCTTGCGAGGCAGGCGGCAGCACCACTGAGCTAAAAATCCCTGGCCCTAGGTTTTCCTTCTTTTGGCTGTTGTGAACGATGCTGCTAGGAATGTGTGAGGTGTGATACAAAAGTATAGTTTGACACTAAACTTGCTGGAAGATAAGTTAGGTAGAACTCTCAATGACATCGGCATAGGAAAAGACTTTATGAACAAATCTTCAGTAGCACGGGAGCTAACACAAAGAATCAACAGCTAGAATCTCATCTTATTAAAAAGCTTCTGCACTGCAAGAGAAACTACCAACAGAGCTAAGAGACAACCTACAATATGGGAAGAAATTTTTAGCAGCTGTACCTCAGACAAAGGTCTACTATCTAGACTATATAAAGAATTGAAAAAAATTAGACCCCCCCAATTCAAAGACCCAATTCAAAAATGGGCATCCGAAATGAACAGACATTTCTCAGACAAAGAAGTAAAAACAGCAAATAAATATATGAAAAAATGTTCAACATCACTGGTCATTCGAGAGATGCAGATGAAAACAACTCTGAGATTCCACCTCACCCCACAAAGAACGGCCACTATCAAGAAATCAACCAATAACAAATGCTGGTGGGGGTGTGGAGAGAAAGGAACGCTTCTCCATTGTTGGTGGGAGTGCAGACTGGTGCAACCACTGTGGAAATCCGTATGGAGATACCTCAAAGAACTAGCGCTAGAGGTCCCATCTGACTCAGCTATTCCCCTACTGGGTATCTTCCCCAAAGAATTAAAAGTATCGTACCACAGCGATATATGTGCACTATGTTTATAGCAGCACAGTTTGTATTAGCTAAAGTTTGGAAACAGCCCAAGTGCCCATCAACTGGAAACTGGATAAAGAAGATGTGGGGTTTTTTATAAAATGGAGTACTACTCAGCCATAAAGAACGAGAAACTAGAGTCATTTATAGCTAAATGGATGCATATTGAGGCTATACTCTTAAGTGAAATAAATAGGACACACATGTGTAAATACCGAATAGTTTCTCTAGTGTGAGAAACTGAAAGTATAAATAAGGATGAAAATGATGAAAATGAATAATTGATAATTTGAAATAGGAAAAGGTCCAAAGGTGTAGGAGTGGAGGGAGGGGAAGGGGAAAGGGAAGAAGGGAAAGGAAAAATTATGAGCAAAGAAAAAAAAAATGGAAACAAAGTCTGTGCAAATAGGGAAGGGTGGTGGGGTTGAAGGGTGTGTAGGTAATGGGGGAAAAATAAGAACCAAGATACATCATGTACAGGTACAAACACCCAATGATAAATGTAAATGTATTATATACCTTGAATGTACCAATTAATATATAAATTTTTAAAAAGTGTAGTTTGAAACTTTGGTGAATGTTTACATCTTAAAAAATTATTACAATAAAAGACACACTGCCATTAAAGCCTCCTGTAATACTCCCCCTCCTTGAATCACATTTATCATTCTTGCCACTTTCTGAAGCAGTTCTGAAATTCCTCTTTTGTGAATGTCTTTAGTTGCATTGTTGTGGCTGCTTCAATGTCTTGAATGGATTCAAAATATTTATCTTTCATGGTTATTTTGACTTTAAGGAAGAGCCAGAAGTCATACTGTGGCTAATCTGGTGAATAAGATGGGTGTGTTTATTTGACAGAAATCACTATACCAGAAGTGATGTGTGACACACAGCACTGTCAAAATGGAGGATAAAAGCATTAGCCCATTTCACAGGCCATTTTCTATGGGCATGGTTTCTTAATAAGCCCTTATAACACTCAGAGTTCACCATAGTGCTCCTGTGTACAAACTCAACTTGCACAATTAAATCAAGGTAAAAAAGCACAACCAATATCACCTTGATGTTGGAGCATGGTTGACATACTTTTTTTTGCACAAAGAAAACTGAATGATTTCCATTGAGAACTCTGAACCTTGGACTCAGGGTCATAACCATAGATTCAATTTTCATCTCTCATGATGACATTTCTTGAAAAGGTGGAAATAGGGGGTCAAGGGGTTAGGACAAGGACAATTTCTTATTTTGATTGCTACTCCTAAAACAGGCCTCCTATTGTATAGAAATCTGGAACTTAATTATGTCCTGTGTCATTATCAAATGTCTCCCAGGGAGTTTGCCACCAGACGGAACCCGTAGTTCTGTGGGGACATCTATTAAGCTATCACCTCAATCATACAATCCCCCCTTTCCTCTGATGATTGCCCATTCTTTGATCCAGAGAGGAGGGTTCCACATGAACTTCATGACCCATAAAGTGGTCATAATTATTCTAGGGAAGAAAGACATGGTCACTATTGTTCTAGGGAAGAAAGACACTTGATTCAAGTTGGGTTAGTTAGATAGAGCCTTTCTTTGGGACTTTGGAATTGGAATAGTTAGGGGATTTTAGTCTTTCTCCATGTAGTTGGAATTGTAGCCTATACTTAGGCATGGTTGGAACACACATTTCCCGTTGTGTTCTGAAAGCAGGAAGAGTTCCTCTGGATTCCCCTGCTCTGCTTCCAACCTACCCCAAAGCTCTGCTGAGTTTTACCCTTGGTCTCTGAGAAACCACCACTCTCCCCCTCTCAAAAATGTCTAACAGGGCCGGGGATTTAGCTCAATGGTTTCACTGCCTACTGCGCAAGCGCAAGGACCCGAATTCGATCCCCGGTACCAAAAAAAGAAAAGCGCAACAAAAAGGTCTAACATCTTGCTTTTGAAATAATTAGCCAGATGGATTACTGGTACTCGGAACTAGCAAACTGGTATGTGTTCTTTGCCTCTGACACAGAAAAGTTCATAGGCATTGTCCATTTCAACAGAATACAGGTCAGGCTGTAATTATATCACATCAACTATACTTCTGGCAGTTCCTTTCCTGTTTAAAAAAGCTCAGCAAAATGTGAGTGTAAATGACATTTTTATAGGCAGGATCTGGAATCTGTTTAACTTAATTTTTTGAAGCAAATTACTTGCCTCCTCCAGTAGACAATGTTTGTGATATACTCCCTATCTGGTATTAAATGTGTGCAGTTCTTCTGCCTGGACTCCCTTTCTCATCAACTCCTCAGATCCAATCCCCATGTCATCTCCTCTGGGAAGCCTTCTGATACTGCCCTGCTAACACTGTCCTATACACTGTTAATTATGCCCCTCCTGACACAGTTGGCACATCCATCTAGTGTTACATATTTCCTCCCAGAGTGCACCCCCCCCACACACACTGTTCTAGGGATCAAACCTAGTGCCTCGTGGATGCTAAGCAAACACTCCAGCATTGAGCTATACCTCTAGCAGAAGTATATTTCCTTCTCCTCTGAAATACTGAGTTCCTCAGGGGTTAAGAGAGTTCCTTGTTTATCTCTGCTGCCCCAAGGTGTCTGGATCAGAATAAGTGCTTGGAAAAGTTTACTGAGCAAATGAGATAAATTGGAACAACATATCCTATATATTCTCACTGATTCACAAGAAATATTAGATATTTGAACACATGAATGTTCTTGATGTTATAGATGAGCACAAAAAAATTCCTGCCCTCAGGGACATTAGAAATAATATTCAGAGCATAAGGGCTAGGAGGAAAAGTAAAGCAGGATGAGGAGAGTCAAGAGTGATAAGTGGTGAGATTTGATATTTTAGTAGAGTGTAAGAAAGTCTTTTTTGGGAGGTGACTTTTGAGTAGAAATTTGGAGTGAAGGTACATGTCTTTCTCATACATGGGGGAAGAAACACCAAGCACAAAGGTCCTGAGGTAGGAGTGAGCCTCCATATTCTGGGAGTAGGAAGGACTCTTGTATGGCCGGCTGAAGAAGGAGGGGGTAGGGGAAAGAAGATGCAGTTAGAGAGGTAGAGAAAGGTGGAGAAAGGACAGATCACACAGGAGGTGAAGGCCCTTAAGTAAAGAATTATTTTTTGCTGAGACATCAAACTGTTGGACGTTTTAGAGGAGTAGAGAGGCTTTGACTTAGGTTTTAACAGAATCCATCTACCTGCTGTGCTGAGAGCAAGGTAGAATCAGAGAGAACGGGTAGGAGGCTATTGCAATATTTCATGGAAAAGAAGAAGAAAGGATTCTAAAGGCAGACCTGACAAGCTTTGTTAATGGATATGATAGGAAGAGAGGAGTCAAAAATGACCACAATGGTTTGGCCTCCCTTACTAGAAGGATGGAATTGACAAGAACTGGGGTGGAGAAAATACAAAGAGCAAGTTAGAAGGGAAGTTGGGTGTGTTTGACTCTGGACATGTTAAGTTGGACACAAGGCTCATACTTACGTATAGGTTCACTTTTTCAGAGTCTGAAGGTTAACTACTGCACCCTCAAGTTAGCCTCATTCACTGAACACCAAGGCGCTGGGCAGAAAGCTTTATATTTGCTGTCATTTAATCCTTCCACTCATCGTATTGCATAGTTGCTAATATTTAATTGCCCTTTTATGGATGAGAAATAAACCCAAAGTCACTCACCCAATTATTAATCTGTCAGATTAATGTACATCTGAGTTTCGGACGCAGGTGTGTCAGACCACAGAGCTCTGTTACTAATCACAGGATTCTAAAGGTGGGGACCATTTTCTGGTCATATGTGCCACAAACGTGGGTTCCATAACAAAAAGCATGCTGGGAACATTTGACAATTCAGTTATGGGGGCCCACCCTCATCCCAGGCATACCAAGTCACAGAGGATCTATGAAGAAAGGAGGGCATTATTGGAGCCAAGGAAGCTAATGCTTGAAAGCTCAAGTATTCGTTACGGAAGTGGTGATTAAAAGTTTATTTGTTTAGGCTATTGTTACTTTTAGGAAACAAGAGGATGTTAAAAACTGCAATGAAGCCTTGGTGGTATAAAAGAAAGATCAATCTCCAGGGTTGGGAAAGACTGCACTGGGGAGACAGGGAAGGGGTGGACAGGGTCCAGGGTCGCTGCGCAGCCTGTCTCTGAAAGCGTAGCCCGTTGGGGCCTTCCTTAGGTGGTCCGCTAGGAAGACCAGTATATGCAGTACAAAAGCCCGGAACCTCTGAGGCCACAGTATCAGCAGCAGTCTCCTCCCGCCTCCAAGCAGCGAAGAGCTCCACGCATGCGCCCGGGTCAAGGTCCTCTTCCCCACGACGTCAGGGGGCTCCCGCCCGCTCAAAAGCTCCGCCCCACGGCGCCTGAGGCGACCTGGGCGGGGGAACCCCCGGCCACGCCCCCAGTGGAGCCGAGCGGGGCCGAGCGGGGCCGAATGCCTCCGAGTGCGACCGAGCCGAGCCGAGCTGAGCTGCCCGGAGTCGGTTGGTGCAGCTGCGTCCCCGCCGCTCCACAGTCCGCGGCTCCGGCTTTGCCGCCGCCGCCGCCGCCGCCGCCGCCGCCGCCTCCGCGGGGCCTGCGTCGTCCGCCCGCCCGCCGGGAGGGAGGTCAGCAGCTCGGGGAGAGAGGCTCGGGGAGAGCGGCTCGGCCCCGGGCGCAGCGTCCGCTGCCGCTGCCAGGTGAGCGCCCTCCGCGGCCAGCCGACCCCGAGTGCCCCCGCAGCTGTCAGCCTCCGTTTTCTGTGTGTCTCTCTGCTTGTCAGCCCCTGTGTCTGCGCGAGCTCCTTCCCGCCAGGCCTGGCCCCTGGCCCGGCCTGTAGGCTCCTCAGGCCCCTCCGCGCGCTGCCCCCGTCTGTCAGCCGCCAGCTCCCCTGGGCTGAGAGGCCCCGCCCCTTCCTCCCGAAGCCCTGCCCCTCTCCCATCTGTCAGCACCCACGGCTGCAGGCTCGCGCGCTCTGGCACCCGGGGTTCACTGTGGCCCCACGGGCCACCGGGTGGCCAAAGGGACGAAAGGGTGTGGTGGAGGGGAAGTGGGGCGTCCATGGAGGCGCGCCTGAGCGCCGCTGGTTTCCACTCCCACGGGTGGAGCCGTTGCCTCCTGCTGGGATGGGGCAGCCCATGCAGCTGGTGTAAAGAGCGTCAGTTGCACCAGCGAAGGTAGCTGAGCCGGGACTCGAACTGCTCAGGGTACAGTAGAATCCTGAATTCTGGGCCCTTGTTTGCTCATAGGAAAGCAATACACGTGGGCCCTGTGTGTCTGGGTGCACGGAAGAGCGTGTAAGAGTTTCAGAGACTCGTTAAGTCTTCCCAATTGGGATTTTTAGTCAGAAGCTGTTGGGAGTGATGGAGGAGTGGGTGGGATGCGAGTTTAGGTGAAGAGTAAGAGTCTGAGTCATTTGGAATTGCACGGTTTGCGTTTCTGAGCGGCGATTGCCCTGGGCTTGAGCCCTGCAAGAAACTGTTCTGTGCTGGGGGGTGGGGGGGGATAGGTAGAGGAGGAGAGAGGGCATATGCCTTTCTGTTTTTATCTGTGTCCTGCGAACACATAGTGCATGTCTATCTGCATATCCTAAATGTTTATTCATGAGGCATCCACACATTTTTAATTTAAAAAAGGATTACTGTAGTTTCCATTTATATACATATTCTTATATGTTGTTATCTGGATGTTTTTATTTGTGGTAACTGAGTATTGCAATATTTCAAAACTGAGAGAAAAAGCGTCCTAAAACAATTGGTATTTTGCCGGATAATTCTCAACCACGGAGAAAGAGCCAAAAATGCACTTCATTAGCTGGAACAACTTATTCGGACTTAATTTGTTTCTAAGAGACATACAGTGGAAAAATCCAGAAGCGGTAAAGAAGTATCAAAGAAACTTAGAAAATGAATTAAAAAGGCCCTTCTATTGCTGCCTTGGAAAGATGGTATCAAAGGTGTTTTAAAATACAGAGTTACTATGTAATGATAAACATATTAACCAAGTTGGTTTTGCGACCTTGATACATGGAGCCACGCTTGATTTGTGTAGTGATTCATGACAGGCAAACATTGTGGAAGTGTGGTAATTTTTGGAAAAAATGTTCCCCGTGTTGTTTTTTGTTTTCATGTTAAAGATTTCAGACTAGAGCCATCTCATGGTGCAATGTTTTTTTTTAAAGGATAATATTAAAAATTACAAAGTAATTCATATTTAAGGCAAAAAACTTGAGAAACAAAAACAAGAAAAACCTATAATTTCACAAACCATAGTAAACCACAGTTTGACATTTATCTTTTTTAGTCTTTTTTTTTCCATGTATACATATATTTTCTGGCAGAAATGCTACAGACGAAAACTTTTATTGTATGCTTTTCCTTTCACTTATAATCGATTATGAGAGAGATGTAAAGGTTTTATGAGTAGGAACTTCTGTTTCCTTTGTGGTCCTTTTAAAAAGTCAAGTTGAGGGGCCGGGGATTTAGCTCAGTGGTTTCGCTGCCTGCCGTGCAAGAGAAAGGACCCTAGTTTAATCCCCAGTAACACCCCCCCCCCCCGCAAAAAAGTCAAGTTGGGCCAGTTCTCAGCGTAGAAGTTTCTCCTCTTAAAGTCTTGAAGTCATTACTATGGCCTACCAGGCTAGCTATCTCTCTGTCCTAACTTCCAGCCTTGCCAAACCATTCCTTAAAAACATCAGGCCTTCGTTTTTGCAGTTCTCTTTGCCTAGAACTTTACATCTTCAGATTTCTGCTCAAATGTAATCTTCTCAGGCTTTCTCTGACCAGTCTATAAAGTATTCCTTAACCTTCAGCCCTCTTTGTCCTGCTTTATTTACCAACACTTGGCTATATATATATATATATTTTTTGGGGGGGGGGTTATTTTCTCACTCTTTCATTAACCCTGAAGTGTAAGATTTTTTTTCACTGATATATCCTCAGGGCTCAGAACTGCACCTGGGCTGTTGTAGTACTTACTGATGGCTGAATGAATGAACAAATGAATGTTAACTATCCATCCATTCATGTGATCTTGCTGGTAGCCTTCTAGATAGCTATGTTATGAAGTGGAATAACAGTCTCTTAAAAGTCATGACATTCTCTCCTTTCCATATCTGAGAAGAAAGAATTTTATAAAGGGAGGCTTATGATCTTAAAAAGAATTACAGTCTTGATTTAACTTGAAGAGTTAGGGGAACATTTTTGGCAAGTGTTGCTGACTTTCCTTCTTATACATTATCCTTTGTGTCATATAGGGAATCTTTCAAAAGTATGAAGTGTCCCAGTTATGTTTACAGCTGTGATTTCAGTTTGGTAGCTCTAGTGATAATGTAAGCCTCAAGAGCACTGTGGGTTTTTTATGTGGCAGACACCCAGAGATATAATTATAGCTTTAAAGTGTTTTCATTTGGGGAGTAGCTGTTATACTTTTCTTGGTAATTCTATCCTTTTCTTCTCTCTGCTTATCAGTTTTTGGATGGTCTAGTGGGTATATTTACTTTTTAAATAAAAATTTAAAAATAATCCTTGACCTTTTGAGTACTTTACATCTCTCATATAACTGTGTGTGTGTGTGTGTGTGTGTGTGTGTGTGTGTATGTGTGTATGTCAATGCTAGGAATTGAACTCAGGGTCTTTGCACTGAGCTGTATCCCTGTCCTTTAATTTTGAGACAAGGCCTCACTAAGCCACTAAGTTGCCCAGGTTGGTCTTCACCTTGTGATCCTCTTGCCTCAGTCTGTCAGAGCACTGGGATTATAGGTGTGAGCTTCCATGCCCAGCTTCATGTGATAGTTTTATCTTTCAGGATGAAACAACATCTGTAATAAAATATAACTTGTATCTTCATTTATAAGGAAGGGAAAATTGTATCTTGAGGCAGGATTTTTACAGAGACTATATGAGTGTAAGATTTTTGAAAGTTTGAACTTCAGTTGGACTACTTTTTAGTGAGTTTTTTTTTTAGGAAAATTTGCTTTTTGGTCTTAAAGAAAAGGACCTCTAGGACGCAGTCCAGATATTTCAAAAATGTTTGTTTTTCTTATGTTCCAAATATACAAGAACTTTGTGGGGGAATCTTAAATGAAAATTTTATTCTTTTAAATCCTAAAGAGACTTGTTAAAGATTTATTTTTATTTGTACCATAGGCATTTGTTGAACATATATTTGGAGCAATTCTATGTGGGGTTTTTTTTTTTTTTTTTTGGTACCGGAGATCAAACTCAGGACCTTGTGCTTGCAAGGCAGGCGGCGGAACCACTGAGTTACATCCCCAGCCCAGTTCTATGTGTTTTTAATGTGTGCTGCTTAACCATGTTCAGTTTTAGATTGTCTGCCTCCTTTCTCATTATTTCTTTTCTCACTCCACTGCCTCCTGTCATCATGTTCTCTCTGCGAATGAACTCATCCAGTCCCAGAACTTTAACATCCCCTAGATGCAGATGACTCCGTCTGTGTGCCTCCCACTCTTTCTCAGATCCCACACTTGCACTTTCAGCTGCAAGGTCTTCCTGTTGTCTCTGCTTGCTGCCTTACAGTCCCAAATTGGTCTCTCAGTTTCCCTTTCAAACTTCCAAATTTGTATTCCTCATTCCTGTCCCCTCTTTCTTGTCCATCCACTAGCCTTCCCTGTCTTATTATCATTACTGTCAACTCATTGTTCAGACCAGACACCTGAAAGTCATCCTTTGTCTTTCCCTACCCCATGTTTAAGCCATCAGCCTGGCCTGTAAGCTGTGCCTCTAGAATATTTCAGATCCCTCCTTCCCTGTGCTTTCTAATTCAGCCACTCTCTTCTCTCAGCAGGATGACTGTCTGCTGCCTCCTAAGTCATTTCCCAGCATCACCCCATCTTCTAGTACAGTCTCTTTACAGCAGCCAGAGTAATTCTACTAATAAATAAGACCATACCCGCTCCCAGGGTAGTGCTTTCCTACTTCACTTACGGTCACATCCACACTTACTCTGAGGCAGCAGCCCCTGCCTGCCTCTCCAGCCTCTGCTCACTGCACACCATACTTGTCAGGTTGAGTACCATAAATTTCTCAAATATGCAAAGTTCTCTTTTGTATAGATCTTCCCTCTTCCTGTCACTTTGCCCCAGATCTTCTTATAGAAAAAATAATTCTCAAACATCTACTCGTAGCTAAAATGTCTGCTCAAGTGCCCTTCCCTAGTACCTTTTCTATAGTAGTTTCCTCCCTATCACCCTCTGCCTCAGTACATATATATCTGCCTGCTTGGTACTTCACCAAAAGTCCAAGCATTTTATTTATGTTCATTTGCTTCGTTAAGGTTAACTTTTCCATTAGACTGCAAGATCTATGAGGGCAGGGGCAGCCTTGCCCTAGTTATGGAACAGCCCTGGAACCCAGTGCTCTACCTAGAATCCAGTAGGTACAGGGACTCAAAACATTTTCAATAATTATTATAGCAGCTAACTTTTTTTGAGACTATGTAGCAAGTCCACTGCTAAGTGCATTCACACATTATGTAAATCTTTGGGAAAACCTAATAAGGTAGATATATATATGGTGAGAAAATGGAACTTAGAAAAGTTAAGACAATTTTAAAGTTACACAGCTAAGAAAGTAAAATTGGGATTTTAATCCATGTGACTTAACTTTTGGACTTTCCCTTTTATCTATTACTGCTTTCTGATATGACTATAGGAATGAATATGAGATATGCTGTGATATTA